GAGCCCCCGCCCCGCGTCCCGCCCCACGCCCCACGCCCCACGCCGGCCTGGTACCATCACCAGCCTGGTACCATCGCCCGCCTGGTACCATTGCCGGCCCAGTACCATCGCCCGCCGGCTCCACATGTTGCCCGGGAGGGTCTGCCGTCACTCTTGACCTTGTTCCTTTTGAAGAAATTTGTGTCTGTCTCTTCCGTGTCTCAGCGGCCACGGCCTCCAGGGTCGTCTGGTGTCTGGCCACACATCTTTTCCCGTGTGTTGTAGCTGGGCAGACTATTTATTAATACTGGCTTTCTTTTCTTTTCTTTTCTTTAAGTCTTATTTCTTTCCGACTTGGCAGCAAACATTTTTCTTCTACTGCTTCTTTCCTGCGCTCTTCCCCCCTCCCCTGCCGTTCCAGTGTCCCCCCTGAACCCCTCAGAGAGGAGGAGGTGCACAGATCCCGGGGGACCCCCGTCCCCCACCTCCACCGGCTCCTTTCCCCCGTGTCCATCATCCTGTGACCCTGTGGGACCACATACTCAGAGACGGGATTTCAGTGTTGTTTCTCCAGCTCCCCGGGGTTTGCCCTTCGGCTCCGTCCCCCGCCTGCCTGCCCAAGCCCTCAGTGGCTCCTAAGAATTTGTTGTGGACGACTTAGTTCCCAAGGTCAGGGCACCGCGTTTCCCTCCCTGCCTGGCCGGCACCGGCTGCCTCTCTCGTGTGCACCTTTGTCCCTGAGCCTGGCCCTCTGGTCCCCCACCCATTGCTGGGGGGTCCTTGGTGGCCCTCCCCACTGCCACCATCATTTCTATGTTGTAGAATCTCTGCGTCCGTGGCCGAGGGGGGTGGGCGGGGGGGGTATGACCCTGGATGACCTCCAGGGCAGGTTCTGCTTCAGCCTGTTCAACGAACGTGAAAGGAAGGATCCCCAAAGCAGTGGAGGGGGGCTCTTCCTCTTGGGTTCTGGGGGGGGCTCTTCCTCTTGGGTTCTGGGGACCACCTGGACCCCAGCGCTGTGCCCCCCCCGGGACTTGAAATACTCAAAAAAAATTGCATCACCGCCAGGCTGGGCCAGGGCACGGGTCCACCTGCTGTGCGCCCCCCCCCCGCGCCTCCGCCTCGGGCGCCATCTTGGAATGCTGGACCTTCCAGCCTGGCCCTCTGCCACCTGAGGGCTGGAGGGGTCCAGCCCGGGGGGCTTCTGGAGCCACTCGAGCCACGCTCCCGTCCACTGATGGCTGCCCGGGTCTCCCCCACTTTCTTGGACTCCTCCTGGTTTTCATGTGCCAAGGGTAGCACCGCCGGGGGCGGGGGAGGAGGACCCGGGGAGACTTCTGTCGCCTAATCCTCACCTTCAATCAGGGGCCCAATCCTATGCTCAGTGACTTGTTGCTACCGGGCGGGCGGGCTCTGAGCCCCTGCCTCCCCCCTCCCCGCCCCTCACCCTCCCCCGCCCCCCTGGGACGGGGGGGGGGGACCAGACGGGCTGCCAGACCCAGAGATGCGCGTGTGGCAGCCATCTGAATGTGAGGCAAGCCATCAAAGGCTCTGCCACTTCACTTCATTGAGTCAGAGCTAAAACATAAACATTAAACAGTAGTCGTCCACCCTGACTGGCCAAAGCTGTGCCAATGGGGGTGCGCGGCATGTCGGCAGGGAGGTACGCGGGGGGCAGGGGGCCCAAAGCCAGGGGCTTCCAAACACCCAGCAGAGGCTGGGAACAGAAATCTCAGTACAACAACCACAAAGAATGGAATCCTACCGGCCGGTGGGTGTGAACAAGAAAGAATGGCTTCCAGAAAGCAATGGCTCCTCCCCCTCCTCCTCCCCGCCCCCTTAGCACTCTCCAGTCCTCTTCTGGACGACAAAATTAAGAGCCACGCGCTCCCCCTGAATGGGGATGGGGATGTCTGGCCGGGGTGGGGGGCTTGGGCGGGGCGCGTTTAGCAGGGCCCCCCAACATCCACGTGCCCGAGACAGGAGCCAGTCACACGGCGGCCAGAGGACCGAGATGCCAGGAAAACGCCGTGGAGGAGAGGACAGTCTATTCAACAAATGGCCGGGCAACCGGGCGCTCCAACTCAGCCCGCCACTCCCAGACCCAAGGCAAACGCAAGGACTAAGGCAACAGTGCCCCCCTAAACCAGGAGCACCTGTCCCGGGCTCTGGCACAGGACTGTACAAGAAATAAACTCAAAACACACATAGGTCCTAGGGGCTGGCGGGGGAGGGGGAGGGGGGGAGTGGGGAGGGCTGCACCACCAATAGATGGGAAATATGTGAACACCCATGTTATTCAGTCACGGAATCATCCAGAAAACATACCTTTTAAACTTAGACAAGGAAAACGCCAGCCCTGAAATGCATACTGGGCTTTAAGCAGACATTTCTGTTCAAAAGAAGAAAAAAAAAAAAAAGCAAGCAGGCACAGGTGACAGAAAACTCGGGGGGACACATGTCTACCGGGCAGAGTCCCGGGGTTCAGCGCTCTGAGGACTGAGCTGCCCCGGCTAAGTTTCTCAAAATAAAGTAGTATCTACTCAAGAGAAATGAAAATACAGAGCCATTCCCAGACCCAATCTGTCATCTAATAGGAAAACAAAATGGAAAACAAAAACAAACAAAAAAAACTTCCCATCAAAATTTCTATTTAAAAAAAAATAGCATCAAAAAGAATGATCAGTATCCTCGCCCAGATAAACCTTGAAAACATTCTACTAAGTGAAAGAAACGCATCACAGATCACGTCCCACGTAACATCGTTTCATGGATGTGATACAGAGACATATATATGAATGTGTATATATGCATATGAATGAACCATATTAGGAAGGACCAATCTAGAGACTTCCACTAGAAAAATCACACCCCCTCCAAGGGCTCAATGAGTCAAGACTTACAAGGCGTGTTTTAAAAAACCCAAAAACATTACGTGTGTGTGTGTGCGCGCGCGCAGGTGTGCAAGTGAGTGTGTGCTTCTCATCCATAGACCTTCTAACGCTATTGGACACTGCAGGCCGCTCCTTTGTCACTCATTGGCTGTTTCCCACCATCCCCCCCTCCGCCCACGCCCCCTTCCTGTGCCCCAGGTCCAGTTACATTTCATTTCTGCGGGTGGGAGGCGGGGCTTGGGTGGTAGAGCGCCAGCCAATGAGCAAAAGCATCAGATACCGACTTTGAGTCCCAACCTCCTCTCTGTAAGACCGCCCCCCCAGCCTGTTCTGGGGTACTGTGATTCCCCAGTCTT